AAAACATGATTGGCTACGATACTTGTTAAACTGCGAGTACCCTTTATAAAAACGTATTAGGTTAAATTTAATATCACTTCACTACTCCCAGTTACTTAATTCTTCTCTGTACTAAGTAAATAAAAATGCTTTTAGCAATTAGTCTACGTTAACCAGTGAAAATCAAATTGTTGGTAAAATTGCATCTGACTGATAATAATTATATCCACGGTGAACTAAAATGAAGGCTGGAGTGTTCATTTAATTGATCTGTGCCTTACATTATAAGTTTTAACTTCTTATTTAAGAGATATTATTGTTTCGATCCGTCCTCTATAGTTTGATTCGCTCATTTACTTTGCTGGGCTCAAAAGCAAATCCACTAAACGAAATTCTCAGCAATACTAAACTGCACGATAGTCGACTTTGAAGACAAAGTAGACCTTTTTTTATCCTCTTCAGTAATGTGTAATTTTATAATGGTAGGAATTTATGTGCTGTTATCAAGCTAGATGAATTACTAATGCGTTTCATGAATATAACGTTGGTTTGATCTCGTTTTTGCAACTAGGTTAGATTGACAGTGATACCTTGTGAAACGTAATTAGTTCTACGCCCTCTGCCAGAACAGACCTTTAAATTGGTATATTCTCAATAAGTTGTCATACTATGGCCTAGAATGTTGAACTAAATAAGTTTCACAAAGTCCCCCTATCGCTCCTAGCAAGTTGCGAAAACGGCGTCAAAACACTGCCCTACGGCTAAAAAAGATTGTTACTAAGTTGAAAACCACTTAATCCTGGTCTCTATATCTATGTTTCAGGAATATGATTATTTGTGCTTTTAGTGTTTGTCGTATATTGTTATGGCGATTAATCGCAATTCCATTCACGCCCAGTGTCGCAAAGAATTCCGAAGTAAAATCACTTATTATCTTTTATTATGTTAGAGAGGAGCCTCTTTTAATCCCCTCTTAACAACAAAGGCAATAACTCTAGTCTATAATTAGATAACACTGTCCGTCTCTTAATTCAGTCTTACTTAACTTCATATGTCATGCTTCCGCTTTATGAAGTTTGCTAAATTCGTATTGCCAGTTAGATGGTGAAGTATGTATGCATGCGTTTATACATTAGTTATAGGGACGACAAATGACCGTATTGACTCTGGATGAATTCTTATCTGCCGCATGTAGACCCTAAGAGATATCAACATGTGAGATATAGTGTCATGAAAATACATAGCTTCGATTCCAAATGAAGTTAGGCACGCATATATGAATACATCCACAAATTCCGTCAGGAGCTGGATGCTTTGCCCAGTTATGATGCAGTATTTAAATAATGAAAACTTGGCAAAGCGACCAATATACTCGTATTATTTTGCAATTTTTGAGCAAAAAGCTGCCATTTTCTATGCATATCATGCTATTCTCGTGCCAAAAGTAAATAGCTGATAAGGTCTATTGATGGAACCGCCTTTCTTAAGCTTGTTCGCACGTTTGCGTTTCGGTAAACTTCATTGTTTGTCTATCGTGTATTTTTGAGTCGATATCGGGTTTGTGAGAAAGTCATGTAAAATTAATTCACATGAAATTGTTATTTTAATTGGTTTTATTGGTTAGATACGATCGTTTTTATTTGAGTAGTATTTAAGAGGAATGGATCATTAATCCTGAAATTCGGGTTTGGTTAAACGGAAACCATTAAAGTGAACAAATAGTATTTCATTTTCTATTCTTCTTCTTCAAGCAATTCTTTCTCTTTTGCTTCATATACAGGCTGCATACGCTCTACTGCTATCGTTTCTTTTGTCGCATGGCCTTCGCCCAACTGGCGTAGGACCACGGGATCTCTCACAAGCGATTGCACTTGTGCTTGCATCTCCGTTGGCGCAGAACTGTGAGGCTCGTCGCCGACTCATGACTGCCGCGACTGAAGGTGGCTACCTTACAAGTCTTACATCATCTATAGGAGGACTAGGAGGTGGAGGAAAAGGTGGTGGATTTGCAGGAAGAAGCAGTGTCAGTGGTGCTGGTGGTGGTGGTAGTAGCCAACATGGTAATCGATCCACTGTTCTGCATTCTGCCAGCGGAACTGGCTTTGGTAGTCTTAGTGGGTTTGGCCGCCTGTTTTCTGCCGGTGCTGGCAGCGGAACTAGCAACGGAGGTAGTCTTACAGGATCTAGTTATGCGCTCCTCAATGGCTCCAACTCAAACCTTCTTTCCGGAATTGGTGGAGTCGTGTCTGGGGCTAGGGTCGGGGACTTGGGCAGGCTTGCTGGGAATCAACATCCTCAGCAGCTCCCAGTCAATTTGCATCCCCTTGCTGGAGGAAATATGGGTATATCAACAAGCAGCATCTCACTTATTCCGCATGTTCCGCTTACACATTGTTCTCCAGCACTTCAAGCGGATGCCGGTAACGGCTTCATGGAGAACTCGATGACGACATCATGCATTGCTACTTCGCTGACTGGAGGGGGCGTTGGCAACGAATTGGAGAATATGATGGCATTTGGTCTTCCTCAGGCGCCGTGGCCCTTTAGGCATGGCTGGTTGGATGGCTTATTTGCCCTCAGCAATGCAGCTTGTCGATATTTGGTGAGCAGGATGCAGCAGCTCTCGTACGATTTAGTTCGATTTTTTCCATTTACTTAATTAGAATACTGCTTTAGCTTAAGATAATTGGTCCTATCTGCCGTAAATCGACTATTCTTTTATTAAGGCAGCATTTTTGAAAATAAATTGAGCTAAAAATAAGATGATTTGGCAAATGGCAAAAAAGCGTAGTAGTGATATACTCTGAGGAAAAAGGATGGAGCAATGGCAAGAGCTTAGAGAGTAAAATGTCTATACAAGTACATAAGAAAGGCTTTAGTAGATAGCAATTAATGGATAAAGAAATAGTATATATGGAGTAAGATTGGGTTCCGAGGAATCACTTAGTTTACATTTGTTTGAATTACTTTTTGTTAAAGTGAAATCCTGGGCTTTAGAGATTCTAAGGTCAATCCCATCAGAAGCTGACAGATACCGGTTAGCTTTACTCAAAGATTCGAGTTGGCATTATTCCCAAGATAATCCCTTTGGATCCCAATGAAATCTTAGTCTGTCACATGGCGAAAATCATTGGAAAAATTTTTATTCCTGTATCTTAATTAAGCTAAGTAGTTAAGGAAATTCATCGTTTTTTCCATACAGACTATATCTTATTCTATCCGAATCTATCTCTGTGAAGTATAAAGCATTTTGGTTAGTTCAATTTATATCTCACTCTATAGGCTTTTGGGTGTTTAGGTTTTCGTGTACATATGTAAAAAACAATACTTAATAAATGTCTTTAGTCTTTAAGATATAAAGACCCCGTTTATTAATTTTTCTTCCGTCATTACTACAGCTTAAATGCTTGGCACTCTCCCGGTCGAGAGAATGAACGGTTTTTCTGTGCGTGTGGGGAGCGAACTAAGACGTATAGAATGTGCGGTCGTAATTAGAACCATGAACATCAGAGGCTAATTGAGTCCCCCATATTTTCAGGCTGTTCAACATCCATACTATCCTAAAGTATATCAAATAAGCATAAGTACTTTCTACCTTACGTATTACTCATATGCTTGCAATGAAGTGCATTGTTTAATCAGTTTTTTGAAATTGAATCTTATATTTTGCTTAGCTGTGATGCACCATATTCAGCAAGACGACAAGTTAGAGATAATTTGGAATTAGTCAAATGTGATATCATAGAATAATTTCTCTTAGATTTAATCCAAGAGCCTTGGGTGACTAAGCAAAGATTATCCAGGATAAGATTGATTTTCTGTGACTATTGGTTTGGGGGTGATTTTAGTTTGCTGATGTCTACAAATTCTGAGTTTTCCCAGGGAAAGGGCAATCTTAAATAAAATATTGGACTAATTTCAGTCTAAAGGTCGTGTGGGAATCTAAAAATGGCTTGAGAGGCTCACACGTGTGTTGTGAGGAGTATTTAATCAGCAAAAACTAGGTTAACTTATTTTAGTCCCTTAAAGTTTTCGTCACTAAAAGTCTTTAATTTATCGATACATTCAATATTCTTTTACTATTTGAACCTATTAAG